GGTGCTTATGATTATTATTACTACTACTAGTATTGGTAATTCCCTTGCCTGTTGTAAGAAGCAGGAATGAGTCAGGGAACACAGAAATGGCCAAAATTTAAAGAAGGAGAATAGGAAGCTTGCACAAATAACTTCAAACTATGAATTATAAAATATTAGCATACAAATGGATGTTCCTGGCAGATGGTTTTGGGGCCGTTTGTTATGTCTTAGGTTTTGTAGTGGGAATAACATAAAAGAATGACTAAATATTTGATTATTCAGTAAAATGTATATTTGTAATATTCATCTTTATATTAAATTGAATCTCTTGTAGCATTTTCTTTTATATCTTCTTTATCATTTACAACTTCTGTTTCTCACATGCATCATATAATGAGGCTCATTGTCAAAAGGGTGTTTATCTGGTGTTGATTTTTATCAATTTCTGTTAATTGTTCAGAGATGAGTGCTCCATGGATGTGTTATGTTACATTATTTCCTTATACCATACCATTAAGATTATGGATTTGGGTATCAATGAACATAAAATACTGTCATTGAAGAAACTATTTTATATCTTCACACAAAGACCTTATGTTATGCAATAGCAAGTAATAATAAAAATACTTTTCAAAAATACTTTTTCTGACCCTGAAGCATGGATGGTTTTCATCGGTATTTCACATATTTTCTTGTGAATGTTCAAATCCAACTCATTTACACTGTTTCTTGTGTGATGGAACTATAAATAAAATTATATATATATAATATATTTTGTGTGTGTGTATATATATATATATAGTACACATTATATACTTCATGCCAAACTATTGTTATGTAGTATATGCATATATAGTGATATATACATAAAGACATATATATATATAAATATATAAATTATTCATTGCTGTGTGTCTGGATTACTGAAGGTGGAATTCTAGAGACACCTTTTTCATCCTTGCCTTTGTTTTTCCATCTTGTTTTGAGACATAGAAATCAGTTAGGAGTTTGTCAGTTTGGGTTAAAAGTTGACAAACCCACTTCAGCCACCAGAACACATTAGCAACATGTCTATTTTCTTGATTTGATTTCCATCAAACTAAAATTCCCTGAAAAAGAAATGTGTTCAGCACAACTCAGGTTCATCACCTACCATGGACACAATCACCGCAGGCTACTTAAAAACAGGAAATAAATGATTCTATCCCCAGGATCTCAAAGCCTTGTAAATGACTAATAAATAACTACAAAGGAAGGCAGGCAATGAGAGCTTCAGGAGGGGTTTCAACTAGTTGATGGAATCAAGGTAGAAGAAGATATTTATTTATTTATTTTCCAAGTCAATATTTTATTAAAAAACACACAAACACATGCACAATGGTAACAGAGGCAGAGATGGAGAGGAGAGGCAAGGTCTCCTTGGGCACAGGCTAACCACAGTGTTTCTACAGACACGCCTCGCTTCAGGAAAGTGGACCGACTGACAAGCCGGATCAGTTAGGAGGGGCTCTGTTTCTTAAGGCATCACTCCCCTGAGAAGCTAGAAGTAGAAGGGATTTAGGCAGGAGTATTCATAAACCCCTCCAGCTGTGCTAAATGAGGGGCGTTAGTACCTGAGGTGGTTCCAGAAGTAGGAAGGCAGAAAACAGAATTCCCTGAAGGCTGCTTTCCTTTCCCAGAAGGGAGGAATGTTCCCCCCGGAAGGCGGGAGAAAGAGTTTCCAGCTGGCTCAGGAGCTCAGGGAGCTGCCTTCCTGGGAAAGCAGGAAGAGGGTGCAGGCCTTTCCTGCTGCCCACCAGCCTGGCAGGACTGGCACAGGAACAAAGGTCCAGAGGCCTTGCCTGGGGCACACGTCCTCCTCTCTACAAAGCTCCTGAGGGGCCGAGGGGCTGTGGCCTCATCAGACGGCAGCATCTGTGGACTGGGTTACACACGAGAGCTTGTAGGACAGCCATATGCTTGCCATGCAGAGGAAGGTGGCCACGAAACCGAAGATCGACAGGGGCCAGCTGATACAGGTGAGCAAGCGGAAGAGGTGGACCAGGTAAAAGGCAAGGTTGATTATCAAGTCGCAAAGGGTGACCACTTCAAAGTAGTTGTAGGCGCCGTAGGCACTGTAGTCGTCCACGGGGAGCTCTGCACGCAGATGAAGGCAATCAACAGGGTGACCATCTGCGCCATTTTCATCAGGGCCCCGTGGGTGCGGGGGTAGCTGGGGTCCAGCAGCGCCTCCAGGGGGCTTGCGCCAGGCTGGGCCGCGCAGGACCCAGTTCCGAGTGCGCCGCCGCTGCGGCATTTTGCAGATGAGCCCGGCTCCGTGCAACATTGCTTGGTCCCAGCTCGCTGGCCAACTCCTGGACGAAAATATTAATTTATACTGTGTGGGGTAAGGGTGAGGTGTGGGAAAACTTCTTTTGGTAGAGTTTAGGATAAACCTAGACAGACATCCTTAATCATTATTGTGTCTAATGACCTGTTCCCAAAATAATGTTTGGAATGTGTAAAATAAACGAGAAAGGATTATAATGAAAACCAATTGTATCAAAATAGCTATTGAAATGTAAAAAATTGTGATATAATAAGTACACTTTTTTAAGGCATTAAATAAAAAAATTCATTTGCAGGTGTAGTAACTATTGTAATTGCAAAGTAGTAATGAACATCATAAATAATTCAAGTTATCTGTAATGACTATAATGTGATATGGATGTATATGTGATTTCTATTTGTGACAAAGTCTTATGTACTTCTAATATTTTTATTGTTCGTTGCCTAGATTCACAATGAAAGGAAATACTACATTTCAGTTAGAAATTAGCAAAAACAGAAATGTAATTTTTCTCCCATCCAAATCACAAATCTCTTAATTTTACCTTTGGACACTTTGGGGTCTATGGAGTACAGGTTAAGAACCACTGGCCTAGAGGATGAACAGGACACTGATAGGGAAATTGAGAAGGAGAAGTGTGAGATAGGAGGACCTTCCGGTATGGTAGAACAACCTTGACTTGTGGAAGATGGGGCAGCAGAGGGCATGTTTGAGGAGTAGACAGATATGGCTAGAGAGGGTGTGAATGGAGTGTTCACTGTGTGGGGCAGTATGAAAAAATGATGGGTGTATATGGGGCTCTCTCAAAGGCCTTGGCATGCCAGAAGGAGAAATTGCACCAGTGAAGAGCCATCAGTGATGCCTTTGAGCAGGAAACCGACATAAATATATTGCTGTTTTAGGAAAGTAATCTGCAGAATAATGGGAGTTGTGTTAAAAAGGCTTGAAGCAGGCAGCCTCTTAGCAGTTTATTACATTGGTCAGGAGGAATATATTGAGAGTTTGAACTAATGCAGTAGAAGTGGAAAAGAGAAGAGATAAGCAAAAGACGGTGGGTAGGCAGACTGAAAGGACTTGGCAATGGGAGAACAGGGTGAGGGATGCAAAAGTGGGGAGAAAAGCTGATTATAAGTGCTAAACTTGTCATACAGGGATGATGGTGAAGCAATGAACCAATACACAGAACACAGCAAGAAGGGTAAATGTGTGGCAGAGGAGTAATAAATTCTTTTTGGGTACATTGAAAGTTGAGGTATTCATGAGCTATTCATGTGGAAATGTTTAGCAGGCAGTGAAAGCAAATCTAGAATCTGGACAAAAGTTCAAGAAAGGAAATGCAGATTTGGTAATCATAATGAAAACAGATGAAATCAAGGGAGTGAAAGAATTTGCCAAAGAAGGGCAAAGGTGCTGAAGGCTAAACATTGTTAGATTTCTTGACTGTGCAAAATATGCTCAAGAAGAACTGCTTACCAATTTTGCACATTTACTCCTTGTTTCTTTAGTTGAATAAAGTGAATAATGTGCCTATTATGTTTCTGATACTCTGCTTTTTCAGAGATCAATAAGATATTGGCCTGCTTTCAAGGAATTAATATTTTGAGTAGAGAAGATGATATATGAACATATAAATATAATTAAGCACAATAATAGAACTATGTACACAGTAGAGAATGATATAGAGAAGGGCAGGATTAACTTCAGCTGAGGTTGGGGTAAAGAAGGCCTCCTAGAGAAGGTGACAACTGATTTGGGTTTTGAGAGTTTACTAGTAGTTTGTCAAGTCAGAAAGTGTTTTAAGTAGTGATAATGAACTGTGCAAAAGACTGGTGTATCCAATGAACTGTTTTCCTTTTGTTGCTTCTTGTGACAAATCCCAAACTTATGTTATACACGATTTAAATGTTTGCAAGACCTGAAATCCTTTCTCCCCGTTAGTAGAACCTCTCCTCATCTTAATCTTAAGCAAGACCCCTGAAATTTGGCCATGAAGCTATTTCATGCTCGATCTAATCTTTTAAGTCGAAGTTTAGCTTCATTTTTTCTGGTTTTGTTCTCTCAAAAATGAAGATTATTCTGTAATCATATTTTTTTAAAAAAAAAAGGTCTACAAAGTGTCCAGTAAGTACAACATTAAAAGTTATGCTGTGTTTAATGGAACATAATTTATCCAAAGTTCTCCGTGTGCCAGCCCTTTTTTGCCTCTGGATTTTTTTCACAATAATTTTTATCCTTTTATGGAAATTAGGACTGTGTTGGGGCTCAGGTTTTTAACTCCTGCATGTCAGCATTGTTCATGTTATGTCCCAGCTGGTTGAAGTTAGTTTCAGAGTAGAGCCATTAAGAACTATTTGTTAGATAGATATGTAATTTTTAAATATGAAAAATCCCAACATCATGAAAATTAATTTTTGCTACTTTATGTCTTTATGGTATTGTCTCAAGACAGGATTTTCTCCTCCACCTATTTTTTCTGGGCCAGGGTTCTAACCATATTCTCTGGAGTTCTGGCACATACCTATCAAGGATGATAGAAGAGATGCTTAGGAAAAATAAAGAAATCAGAACAACTCTGTAAGCATATCAATAGAGTCTTCTTGAATATGCAATCAGACAAAAGAAATATTTATCTTTTACATATTTAACTTTGAGTTGGACAAGGAATGATAATTTTCCTTTATCTTCTCAATTACCCTGGAGCTGTACAAGTCATACACAGCTCCATCAGAGAGAAAACTGGACAGAACCATTTGACTGAAAATTCATGTCCAAGGCCAACAAGAAAGAGCTGAGACACTGCAGAGAGAGAAGGAATAAATGAAAGGTAAAGACAAACAGAGACCAGAGGGAGGACTCAATTACAGACTGATAGGAGACTCAAGGTAGAAAATGAAGGTTTGTAATTTCTAGACTTCTTGTGTAGGCTTGTCTATCTAAAAACATATATAAATCATATATATTAGCATATATAAGGCATTAAACTGTTTAGAGGAGACCAATTCACAAAAATGCCAATACTCTATGCTTAAAGGTTCTGAATAAATATCTATTTATGGACAAAAATTCTATTGCATTTTATGCTGTCTTATACATATTACAGAGCTTGGGGGAGGTAGAAACAGCCTTCTCTTAGAAACCTTTTTTTTTTTTCCTTTTTCACAAATGCAAGGATGGGCTGGAAATGGACCTAAGGTACTTATGGAGCCACGTTGTCTAAAATGCTAAAGAAGCGGTTCTCACATTGATCCATATAACTAGAACCAGCTGAAGTCTGGTTTAGCCTATTATGACCTTCTGCCTTGAGTTAATTGATTAAATAATTAAATATTTATTAAATGATGCAGCGTCCTCTATGTCCCATGTCCTGTGTAGGGGCTTGGGAAATAAGGATGAGGATAAACACCCTTTCCTTGAGGAACTGAGGAGCATTAAATATTAAAAAAAAAACTAACCCCACAAAAACAAAAACAAAAAACTTATCCTTCCACTCACTGCAAAAAAGAAAAGAAAGGCTATCAAGTCGTTGTTTTGTAGTTGATGGAGTCGGTGATTAAATTTTTACGAGTGTGCCACGTAGCTACAAAAGGCCCAGATATGTAAAAACAAAATTCCAGTATGAATCTTCCTGAGGCCTAGACTTGGCTTATATCTCCTCTCTGGTTCCTAAATTTTATTAAACAACTTTTTCTTAGCCTGTTGAATTTCCCACACGAAGACCCTTTCAATCCACAGTTTGGGCTGTCAGGAGTCTAATCTTCCTGGAAAACAGTGACAGCCGCAAATTCAGGTTGTATCTTTTATTCCCCCCACCACAGACCAGTGCCACTGGAAAGAACTGTGTCTTTCTACCTTAACTCATTGGCAGGGATAGTAGTGAATATATGTACCATTTGGACTTTTATTTTCAGGCCCAGAATTGGACTCTCTATATCCAGTTACTTCTCTTTTTTTTTTTTTTTTTTAGACGGAGTTTTGCTCTTGTTACCCAGGCTGGAGTGCAATGGCGCGATCTTGGCAACCTCTGCCTCCTGGGTTCAGGCAATTCTCCTGCCTCAGCCTCCTGAGTAGCTGGGATTACAGTCATGCGCCCCCATGCCCAGCTAATTTTTTTGTATTTTTAGTAGCAACAGGGTTTCACCATGTTGACCAGGATGGTCTTGATCTCTTCACCTTGCTATCCACCTGCCTCGGCCTCCCAAAGTGCTGGGATTATAGGCGTGAGCCACCGTGCCCAGCCCAGTTACTCCTCTTTCTAATTTGCTCCATCCACTCCCACGGTCTTCTTAAAACATAGGCCTGATTGGGCAATTGATAGGGGAATGATCTAGTTCTTAGCATGGTCTCTGTGCTCTCTACCATTTATCTCCATCCTATCTTTACAGCTTCATCTTCTAGTTCAGTGGCTTCTACGAGATGCTTGTGTTTTCTAGAAATACTGAACTGAGTGCTTTCGTCATCTTTACATTTGCTGTTTCCTCCTAGGCCATTAACTATCTCAGGTTGTTAAAATCCTGCTCATCTTTCAAAACCTGATTTAAATATCACAAATACTTTAGAAGAGCCTTCAGGGTTTCCTTTCTTGATATTAATAATTTCTTTCTCTGGGCTTTCACAGAACTTTACTAATACTTCCTGTAGCCCTAAGGTTATAGGCATTAAACTAAATGGTATAAATCACAGTATTTGGCATAATGAAAGAGTTCAATAACTATTAGCTATTAGTTTTACTTATCACATTGTACCTAAGATAAAATTTCTATGTATGTGTAAATAATGTATAAGTCCTCCATTAATATATAAGATCTTTAAGAATAAGAAAAGATAATAACTTACCCCTTTTAGTGTCTAAAATCCTGGATTTGTGCATTTTACCTTGAAGAAGCACAAACAGCACTTGTTGAAACACTGGTTGAATGAATCTGTTACTAGAGTTTAGACAAAGAAATATAGGACAGAACAGCTTTTCACCCTGATATGTGCCAAGGCATTCTGTTGGACTTTATGTACTTTACCTTATTCAATACCCACAACCACTCTGCGAAACATATATTGATCTTGCTCTATAAGGAAATTGAGACTCAAGGAATTTAAATAATATACCTCAAGTCAACAACTAGAAAGAATCAAAGCCAGAATTCCAAGCTATTGCATTTCTGACTCCAACTCCTAGGCTCTTGCTCCCTTGCTATTTTGACACTAAGTAACATCATAATGTCCCCAAGGGGTCTAGTATGTGGACACCAAAATCGCTTTTAGCACAGATTACTAATACAGTTCTCAGAGAGATTTCAAACAATTTAAAAAAGTAATTTTTTTTTTTTTGAGATGGAGTCTCACTCTGTTGCCCAGGCTAGAATGCAGTGGTGCCATCTTCACTCACTACAATCTCTTCTCTCCTGCCTTAGCCTCCCTAGTAGCTGGGATTACAGGCATGTGCCACCACCCCGAGCTAATTGTGTGTGTGTGTGTGTGTGTGTATTTTTAGTAGAGACGGTTTCACCATGTTGGGTAGGCTGGTCTCCAACTGCTGACCTCGGGTGATCTGCCCACCTCGGCCTCCCAAAGTGCTGAGATTATAGGTATGATCCACCATGCCTGGAAAAAAAGTCATCAGTTCAATCCAAAGTTTGATTAGTTTTCTTTTTCCCCAAAGGTGTCTCCACCCTCTTCAAGTTATGCCTTTGGAATGGACCATAAAACCGCATTTCAATTGTAAGTTGGCATGTAAGTAAATAAAACTTTTACAAGTAATATAAATGAGTGTGTTGTCAAGAGGATCCTAGGTATGTATAAATCCTTTAATTACAATTTCTAGTGCTAATGTTTATCCTTTAATTAGAGGTGTATAGTAGGCTTCTTTGTGGGGGCAGAGGAGTAAACTGGAACCATATGGATGCTGCCTCATTTTCATCTGAGCCCTTCCAGGGATTGTAAACCTTAAAGTGGCATTGGAACCCACTACTTTAGAATCTGCTAAGAAAGGTGAGAACAGTAAGTCTTTGTGCAAAGGCTGAATGTACATAGGGAAGTGTAGCCCTAAATCTGTTTGCTCCCACATGTTTTTGCCCCGTTTTGCTTTGACTAATTATATAATCTGCGATGTAAGAGAGCCAAGTGATTTTACCTGTCTTGCTGATTACACAGTTTGGATTAGCCTTTTGGTATGGGGTGGCTTTTAATCGGCTTTAGATTTGGAGCTATAAACAATAGGGCTTCCCTGAGAGAGAAAACTATTGAGAAGACCAGAAAGAGAGAGAGACAGAAAGGACAGGATTTGATTTTGGTGAGGTAAAAACAACTCAGCCTCTGGGTAGGAATTTTCGTTTGCTACTTATTGGCTTTGTGCTTGGCAAGGTTTGAACTTCTCTGGAATTGTTTCCTCATCTACAAAATGGGGATAATAACACCTTCCTAGCTAGGCAATAATGAGATTTAGAGACAGTGTGTATGAAGTGCCTGGCATCTTGGAAGCCCATGACAACTGTCTGATATAGTTATTACAGGTTTTTTTTTTTTTAATTGAAAGAGCTCATCTTTCAGCATTGTAAGCAGTCCTCAAAAAAACCAGGGTTCAGGGCAAATGTGATTACTGCTGATGATAACTTTTTTGGTGCCTTTTTCTTATTTCCTTGCCCTTTTCATGTCCCTTGTTTTCCTCTGATTAATGTTCCAAACTGACCCTTATCAGCCTCTCTCCTTTTTTATCATACTTTCAGAAAATTCAAAATAAACTGCAGGGGCTGATGAGACCAAATAATTGCAGACAGACTTTGTTTAGAAGTCAAAAATCGCCTCTTTCCTTTGCCCTGACGACTTTTCTCCTTCTGGTCTTTTCTCTCCCTACATGTCAGTATTAAAATGTATTGTTAGATCGACAGATGCATCACCTGACACTTTGGTGAGTGAAGACATAGATTTGGATAATAGACATAGCTGAAACATTTTCCTGGGGGTGTCCAGTTCTATTATTTACACAACCATTGTTATTCCAGAAAATAACTGGTAGATTCCTCCTCCAAACTGGTAAAGTTCTTATAGATGTGGACTAAGGAGCTGTTTTCCCAAGGGATTCATTAGATTTTGATTAGCCTCTAATATGTTTGTTCAAAATGACATGGAGGATTTCCCCCAGGCCAGGCTGGGGTTGCCAGCTGTGACAGAGATGGACATTTAATTTGTTTGTGATTGGGTTGTCAAGGCTGGACATTTGTCATTTGAGAGTTCTACTTTACTCCTTTTCCCCAAATCTACTTCTAACAAAAGAAATCTTAAAATCTTTAAAATTAGGTAAATTAAAAATTGATGATGTGGAGTGTGTACTGGATTGGTTTCTATTTTATTTTACTCAAGGAAATCATAATTTTGGGGCCAGTAATTAAAATTCCTGACTATGTACAGGCGAAGCTCACACTGCTCACAAAACACCCCAGCAATCTTATCCCATTTCTTAGGGAAGATTTAATAGCAGGCCTGTTCAGTGAGGCACATATAAGTTCATTACCTTTATAAAACACTCTACAGGAATTTTACTAGTGTCCAAGGCAGTGCTGTTAATGGTTACCATTCACACATTTCTATAAAAGAACAAAAGACAGCTTGTGCTAACCTTAATTTCTTGGTCTTCTTTGCTTTCTTGATAATTTTCTAAATTCAAACATTTACACAAAATCTTCTAATCATTTGTATTCGTTAGCAATCTGCTCCTATTGCAATATTTCACTGTCCTTGCGGCAAGAGTAGTTGTAAGACTGTATTGTCTAAACCAGAGTCAGCTGCCTTGTACTTAGCTTTACATTTCAGCTGAGACACAGGCACAGTTTCTGACTTATGCTGCTGCATAGAAGGGTAAACTGAAGTTAATATTCTTCAAATTTAATTTCTCAAAGCCAAACTGG